TGCCATAGAAGAATCAATGTTGGTTCTCCAAAGAGTGAACAGTTCTTAAAAGAACCATTTTTTCCCTAGTGTGAAGAACATTGTAATAATCTGAAGATCCTGTGTTCACTAAAGACCCTTTTGTGTAATGGAAAGGTTTTCATGGATGTTTAACATCAGCTGTCTTCTGTGGTTCTTCATGGAAGCATAGACGCCAATAAATAACCTTTATTTTTAAGAGTGTACTTCTAAATTTACAATATTTCATGACAATAATGTTCTTAATATTTAGAAAGTCTTGTGAATTATTGCTTCTCAGATGTGTGAGTTGTTGCTTAATATTTCAGTAATTGCTTGTTAAAAGGTTATTTCATATGGAATATTAATTTAAGAATCACAAAGAACATAACTCAATTCTGTACCTCTACTGCTTATTTTGCATTGTAATTTATTCAAAATAATATATTTTCAATATCTAAATTGGCAAGAGCTTTGTTTTACATATTCAAAGCACATATTCCCCGTTTGCTTGAGGCTATAGCTGTAAAACACACCCAAATGTGTTTTGAATCCAGTGTAAACTTAATGATTAATTATATTGAGTCAAAGAAACTGTAGGACTCCATTTTGATCAGTTACCAGCATAAACACATTATTTCACATTAAACACAACTACTTATCCTATACATATATTCTTATATAACTGAGATCAGTATATTAGGTGGAATGAGGAATAATGATCAGGTCAAACAGATTATAGAGTTGACAGGTTATTTAAACCATTAAGCCTTTATAAAATATATATATATATACTGATTTAAGAATATTTAGTTTGTGCTTGAAGGTAACTAGACATGTAGTAGTGACCTACTGTACATTTCCTTTTTGGCATCCTCAGGTTTTCATCTTAAAACATCTGCTGTTATGATGTTTGTGAACATATAGGCTACTCTTTTCAGATTAAACGACACTGTTGAGATTGACTATTAAGATTAAATGATACGAGACTGATTGCACTTAACTTCTGATGAAGGAATCAAGAAAATCTGGCAACTTGTAGAAATGAAGAAGTGTTGTAAGAAGGTCTAATGATGAGAACATTTTCTCCAGTGACCGTGCAGGTGTGTCAGGTTAACCTCTGCTGAAATCTCTTTATTGCTGTCTGTATATTATCGGAGTAAAACATTCTGTAATGCACTTAATTCCTAAGACCTAAAATATCCCATCATCCTATTGATGACATTGTGTAATATGATCATTTTGCTGGCAACAAGAAAACTATTATAAGTAATTCAACCAGATGTCATTATGGTTTCATTTGATATCCCTATTCAGGTAGTTTATTTAGCCTAGTGCTTCTAATAAAACAGTGTTATATCTAGTTCTTGGTTTTACAAACGCTTTAAGATTAAGTTAATAAAACTACTTTCACTATACTTTACAGGTAACCTTTTTTTTCTAGAATAGAAACTATAGCATATCTGTTCAGTCGGGTATCTGAATCATACGAGTTGGTTGGTTTTACAGCTTTTTTTATCTGAATGTTTTTACATAATGCATTTTTTTTGTCTGAGATCTTGTTATTTGTGAGTGAATCTGTGTCTTACGGGCAGCATGTTGCGTGTTGTTCTCCACTTGTCTGTCGTTGGTGCAGGTTCCCTGATCGAGGCGCGCATCCGGGGCCGCACAGCAGTAGCGCAGCGAGCAGCTCCCGCAGCACACCGTCGCGTCCGCCGTATCGAAGTCCTCTGGACACTGAAAGCCCTCCTGGTCATTCCCGCTGCTGTCTAGCCAGCCGTGACAGTACTCTCCCCGGGCATCAGATATCCGCAGAGTCCATGTCAAATACCCCAAGACTAGGCAATTGAGCAGGCGCACCATACCTGCAAGATGCGCTTTATTTAGCCAGCTCCTCTCAAACAGAGCGCTCGATAAACTGCCTGTTTTTGGGTTAAGCGAGCTGTAAACGACCTTGAAATGATTTGGGAAAATACTCCATCAACTCATAAGATCCAAATGTCACTGGAGTTAATTCCAATTCAAAATGAAAAGTCATCCAGCGCCGGTCTTGGATCGTTTTAAAATATCACTTCCAGAAATCCCATGATTTCCTCCGCTCCCGCTGTTTGCTGATATTGTAGAGTTGTGAACTACTCATCGAATGCTTTTGAAATCCATGTGGATGTAAAAGAATAAACTGTCACCTATACGTGTTTTATTTCTTTCTCAAAAGACTGGTAAAAACACTGTCCTGTCTTGCAGTTCTCCCCCCAAAAGTTGTGGCTGCACAGAGACCAGCGCGTCTGCTCTGAAGCCACTTTTCAAATGTCCTGCTCGAAGTTAGTTTGAGACTCGCACCCGCTCCGTTTCGAAGACGCGCACGCAGTTGGCTGGCCTGACGTGCGCGTTCATGTAGCGCGAGAGCGAGAGAGCTGGTTGTATTCTGTGTCCAACAACATTAATAGAAAGATCGGTTTCTTTCTTTTTATTGCTGCTTCTTTTTTAGCAGTTTCCTTATGGTTTACTTAGGTTATTGATTGATAGATAGATAGCATGGAGTCTTTCAAATAAAATTGGTTAATTTGATTGCATTTGAATTCTCCTTGCCGTATTCATTCAGTCGTCTGGAAAGGGATGAGAAGGCTTTGCCTTTAAATTAGTGTCATGTTGTCGCCCTCTTCTGGACATTGTTGCTGGTACAGCACTGGTGTGACGGCTGCTTATAACTACTGATTCTGAACGAATCAGCTTCTTCTTTTTTTATAAATAGTCGGTGTTCTTCCACAGCAGATGCGTATTTCCTTCTGTGGGCTCAAGTGGACATTATTTTTACACATAGTTTTGCATATGTGACATATCTATGTATGTGACGCCATCAAATTAGGTTTAAAGACCTTCTGTTGGTGGTGTATTTAATATTTCCCCTTTTCAACACTGCTTACATAATGCTCATATTCAGCAATTAAGCTCTATATGAGGAAAGTAAAAGTAATAACGTGACATATTTTAGAGGGGGG